CGTCACACTTGAGAAGCTTTAACCAGCAAATGTTTAGATCGTTGCAGCTCTAGAAATGTTTTTTTTTTTTACTTTCATGTTTTTTATTATGTCATGCCATATGTTTGAGGTGCTGTATTGTAGTGCTATAGTCCTATATTTGGATGGGTGTCTAATATTTCTGATATTTGACTGTACAACACCACCACAGATCACTGCCTCAGAAAATCACCAAACAGTAAAAACTGATGGTTTTAAACTTCACAAATGGCATGTATTAGACAATATTTTGTGACTTAAGAAATATTCTGACTTTTTGCTGACAGGTTGACAAACATAGAGATCATTTAATCAATTACATCATCTTCCTGAGGATAACCCCCTTTCTCCCCAACTGGTTCATCAACATCACCTCACCTGTCATCAATGTGCCTTTGGGGGTTTTCTTCATAGGTACTTTTCTCGGTAAGTCTTGTTTGTCCCTTCTGTTGTTTAATTTTGGTATTGTTTGTTGCCTCTGATTCACCTGTGTTCAACCTGGCTGATTCACAGGAGTGGCACCACCGTCCTTTGTAGCGATCAACGCAGGTACAACACTGTACAAACTGACCACAGCTGGCGAGGCCGTCTCCTGGAATTCTCTGGCTGTGCTCGGTGTTCTTGCCGTGCTCTCGATCTTGCCCGTCTGCTTCCAGAAAAAGCTGCAGCAGAAACTAGAGTAGAGCACTGTAAACACCTCAGAACCTCATCTGCTGATTGATCCCAACATCCCCTTCCCTTGGCTCAGGAACATGCAGATGTCACTCAAGTTGCTGCTGGGGCTGGTGTGGTGCTGGTGGGAGAAACTCTTACCACTGGCACAACAAGCACTCATTGACCTCAGAATGCATGCAGTGGTGGGTTGTTCCTGATGTTAAGTAAAGTATAAACTGGCTGCTGCTTGCACAAGTTTTTTGGTTTCTGTGAACTATGTTGTTGATTGTGGCACATCTTGTAAATAAGAGAAATTGTGTTTTTTGTTTTTATTAAATCACTGCTCATTATCGCATAATTCTTGGCAGACAATTAAAGGTGCTACTTGTAGGATGTTGAAGTAAAATACCTTATTCTGATACTTGGATTTTTTAAAAATGCAGCTACCAGTTTCATATGGCCTACTTTTCATGAGGAAAACACTCTAGCTCTTTTCTTCCTAGAAACTGCAATGTAATAAATAAATAAATAAAAGCAATGTCATCAGTACCTTCCTCAGGCCATTTCAAACATCTGTTTTTTTCCCCTTTGGCAGTAGCTTTTCAATCACTACATCCTATTTGTAGCACCTTTAAGTTCCACTCCCATATTTGATATTTATTTTAACATGCTTGTGTCTAATTTTAGCCTAATGAAGTGTACCACCACAGCAATAATAGTCAGACTACTGTTGAAAGTGCATTTTTGTTCTTAAAGTCAATTTCGATACCTGGTGCTTGCCTTGGCAAATGTGTGCAGTGAGGAAAGGATGAAACTGCAGGGAAGAAAAATGCAGTGGCTGACCTTAGTAAGTGCTACTTTTGCTGACATGTGGGTGGTTTCCCATGTTCTTCTTTGAAAGGTGCCTGAATCCACTGCCACACAACCCTTTTTTTTAGTTTCACCTGTTTCTCTTCATATTGGGATCCTAAAGCAGCTTTTTGCTACTGTACCGTGTAAAGAATGGACAAAGCTGATGTACTGTTTCCTCACAGGACATCAGGACTGCAGAATGCCAAACACGAACCTTTGCCCAATTCAAATTGGTATTTTTAATTAAGTGAGTATGGGTTCTGTCAACACAACTGATTAATGTGTGGTAAGATGCACACGATCCAGAACAGTTGGTGAAAAGCCTAAAAACAGATTCATGTTGGTCTGTAAATTTGGGTTAGATGGGCTCTCAGCTCAGGTTTTGCATATAGTGATAATGATGTACACACTTGTAGGTGTGTACTCAGATTATGTTTGGTTGTCTCTGCCCCATGATATTGTTTGCTATGGCAGTGTAGACCTGGAGATGTCCATGCTGTGGATGATGCGCCAGTGTCCTCAATAAGGCTGTCAACAGACTGTGAGGTATCCAAGCCTTACTTTGCTCCTACTGCTTGCATTCTTTCGCCATGAGAAACCTGGTATGTTGCCTTTGTGTTCTTCAAATGGTTTTGAATGGCTAATTTTCTCCTGTGCTATAAAAGCTTACTGATTCTTTTCATTTAGATGTTGTTAGTGTTTTTTTTTTTGTTTTTTTTCTGCCTGTGTACTGAGATAAGTTAATGCTGCTGCTGCTGCTGCTTACAATCTTTCTGGACAGTCACCAGAGATGTTGCTGCAGTGAATGCACATGGAGGTAACACATCTTATGTGGTCCTTTTCTTTAATTCTTTAATTTGAGATTTCCTGTTTTTACTTTCAAGTCTTAGTACTCAAACGATTTACTGTGTACTACTGTAAGATTATTACCTCTCATACCCAGTTTTGAAATGACATTAACATCAATTTATGTAAAACTTGAACAGTTCTATAGGTGATAGAACTAATGTTTTAGCATTAACTGCCCTCATAAATTTTGACTACTGGGTTGTTTTTATGGTTCTTACTGGTTTATGAGAGAGCTACATTTATACACCTGAAGTTTATTGTTGCCTGGGAAAATGCACCTTCTATAAGGTGGTTAAGTCAATCAGCAAACGCTATAAACTGGCCCTAAAAATGCTTTTCTTCATATTTACATAGAAGCTAGATGATCATCTTCTTAGTCCTCCATAACGATGGTAGATTTTTTTCCCCCATTTCCTAAAATGATTATACCTAAACCTATTCTGGACATACTCAGATTAGATATGTTATTGGTGGTGTTTGTCCTATCAAAGATGTTGTGAGGTCATTCTTGTGTAACCCTCTGTTAACATTTCAAAAGGCAGTATTATTTTGTACTGAGCAGTGATGTATTGCAGTATGAAGTGTTTACAGATTGCACATTTTTGTCCTATCTAATCAAATTTATTATTTTTTTTTTTATATTTATTGAATCATTAAAATGATATTTCCAGAATATGATTGCGTTCTGAGAAATACCTGTAAAGAGCACACGTTTAATCAGGCTGCAGGGAGCTGTGATTACAATATCCATTAATGAATACATTTTTTTTTTAAACTACAGGATTCCCTACAATGATGTATTAAGTTCGTGGATAGATTGGGTTTGTTTTTGTTTTTTAGGATCACAGAACATGCAGCAAACTTCATCGACACGTAACCAAAAACACATGTCTGACTAAACCCTCAACTATTGTGAGGGTTTAGTGCCACCTGGTGTTGATGTTGAAGTTCATTGATCATGAATGAAGTGGAGAACATGAGTATTGCTTGAAAAGGGAAACCTCTTGGATGTAATTCAGTCTGCCAAGGAAACAATACAGGAGTGTGATAAAGCTTTAAAAGCCAGAAATACAGCATTTAGGCAGCTCGAAAAATTCATTCTCAGTAGGCAGTATTGGGCAACTGCCCAATGTGGCAATCAGAATAAATCAAATGGAAATTAAAAAAAGCAATCTTGGGTCTCGAGCCAATAATCTAGCCCAGATTTGACATGTATAAGTGTAGGGGTTTTTGATCTGGACCTGGTCCAATGTGTCTAGATGTCCCCTTTTTATGTTTTCACAAATAAAATAAAGGTTTCACAAATTTGAAAGTGGGTTTCAGACATGGTTAAAGCTTAACTAGGCTAAAATGTCTAACATGTTCAAAACAGTAAGGTGCAAAAAGCAGAGAACTGGTCCCTCAACTGTCAGTTAAATTTCCCTCAACCTTCCCTTTAAGTTTCCTGCTAAATCGCCTATCCATAGTGACCACTAAGGAAACTAGGTTGATTAAGGGACACTTTTAGTTATGTCTATTCTTAATCATAGTATTGTTGATCACAGCATGATGTATTTGTATCATGTTTCATCATGTATAGGCTATAATGGTGACCCATAAAACAATGAGTCATATATATTTAAAAATTTACAATTTTAATATCTGATATGTTATTTACTAAACATCTAAGGGAAAAAGTAAATTAGTGTATTAATTAATAATGTAAATAATGTATGGAATCTGATAGTGACTGTGTACTGACAAAGGTGCTAAGTCTAAAAACGTTATTACTGTCAATTAAATCTTCGTAAAGGCAATTGAAACTGTCATCACTATATCAAAATGTATTTTTTTATTATATAAAGAATATTTCAGACCAGAGTTGCTGTTCGTCAGGTACAAAAGAGGAGACAGAATACTCAGTTTAAACATCTGATAGAGCTTTTTCACAGCAGATATTTTGACAGTAGGAAAAGTACAAGTGTAAATAATAAAATGAATGATAGCTGAATCTGCTGTTCATGTTGGCTCACTGTCATGTGGGACACTTAAATGAGCAGAGCCACTGTTAGTGTTGTTAGTAACACCTCTGTTTTTCCTATTAAATGTCTGCCATGAAAAGGTCTTTTAATCTTCCCATCATAGTAATTACAGTCTAACACATTTTTATAGTTTTAAATTAGGAAATTAAACTTTTTCTTAAAGGTAATAGGTGCAACCTTTTTAACTTAAATGTTTTTTTTTTTTAGTTCAACCTTCCATATCAGTCTGAACAACATCAGGCCCATTAGACAGTTACAGCCTCTGGTTCCCTGTAAAATCCAGATTGACATTTCCATGGTGGGACCAGGTCTGAATGAGAAGCTTATCTCACTCTGCAGGTGGTGGAGCCCTACAGTAATGCAGGCAGCGGAGCAATCAGCGGCTGTTGACAGTTGTCATGTCCCTTTTCACCACATGCCTGAGTTTCGTTTGTTCACAAGAATTATGGGCGCAACACAAAGGTGGGCTCTACTCAAGGAAGCCATTCTAATGTCAGAAATGGGTGATTGCTGATTAGTGTAAGAGCTGCTGACGTCAGTACCCTTTAAAGACATGTTACCGGAGAGAGAGAGAGAGAGAGAGAGCAGTGTACAGCAGATACAGAGATGGGCAGCACTGCTTTCCCCTCATTGACTTTGATGGTTCTCCTCCTCAGCTGGACTTGTTACGCTGAGGAGGATGCAGAGACTCTATCCTGCCCAGAATACCAGGAGGGTTTTGACGGCTCCTGCTACGAGTTTGTGGGTCAGCAGCGGTCCTTCCTTAATGCCCAGGGATGGTGTGAGCGAGGCGGGGGACACCTAGCTTTCATCCTGAATGACGAAACTCAGCAGTTCCTTCAGAAGCACCTGGAGCCAGAGAGGGACTGGTGGCTCGGGCTGGCACCTGCTGCCCCAAACCTCACGCTCGAGTCTGCTGCCACTGAGGGTGAGAGGCAGAGTAGACACTACATGATTTCTAATGGCTTTTTTTTTTTATAGATTTTTAGTGAGTTTATATTGATAGTTGGATAATTTGAGTGCTGTGATACAGGTCAGCTTGAGTGAAATCTGTAGTATTCATAAAGAATTCTGTTTTTTTGAAACTTTCCCTTTTAGTAGCCAACATTTAAAGTACTTTGATGCAAATATAAACAGCAAATTTGAGCTTTGTGTGATCAGTGATTATATCTCAAAATTCACACTCACATGGTATCTCATTAGGCAGCTTACACGTCCATTGTAAAGATTTGAAATGTGTTTGCTCAATGACGCATGTTGGAAGACTGGCACATTTGGATATCTTCCTCAAGCAGCAGCTGTAATGAGAGATATTTCTCATTCATTTGATATTCTCAATAGGCTTGCTGTCAAGTGGCCTGATTTACAAAGGTGTCTTTAGTTTCCTTCACAGAGAAAGAAAGAGAGAGTCTTTCTCATTCACTCACCCTGTCACCAGCGTGATCTATTGCTTTGTTGTTTTATGATCCCTAAATTGCATCTTAACAATTAACTTCCCTGAGAGAAGGACCTTGTATACTGATAACATCTTCTGCAGAATTTTGCTTGAATAGCAAAAATACAAAATAGACATTTGATCAAATTAATTGATGTGATTTCTTTAACCTTCCCCAGGTTCCCTTGCTTGGCTGGATGGCTCAGATGTCAGCTACAGCAACTGGGTGAACATGCCAGATGCACAAGAAGTCTGTGGATATATTCTGAGGCATTCAGGTTTCCAGTGGGAAGCCACAGTGAACTGTAGCCAGGAACTCAACTTCATCTGCCAGTTTGGTACAAACTCTTAAATAAATCAACATACAGCTTCAAAATTATGCTATATGTTGATTTATTTACATATAAGAGTAATTATGAAATTTTTGATTTGTTTTTTCTCCCAGATTCCGGGAGATCTATCGCATGTGATGTACAAAATGCCACATTGCAATGTGGCTCTGGTCAAGTTATAGAGATTGATGACAGCTTCTACGGTCGAAAGACAATTCACTACTGCCGATCCAAACTTACAACCTCACCCACATCCTCCCAGGAGGAGTGCAGCTGGATAGATGTGGTAGATTCTGTAACAGGTATTATTAATTAACTGAAAGTATTTTTTCATTACTATTACATGTAAAATATAGAGAACCAGCCTTTTCAGTGTTCTGCAAATATAATAGTGGCTATGATAGTAAAGTACCAAAGTATTTGTATAATAGATTTGGTTACGCCTTATTTACTTGACATATTCAACGTTCTACCTGGTACTTTAGGATGAATGATGGGACATTCAGTTTAAAGGCATCTTTGTATTTACAGTAAAATCTATGGGAACATATTTCGCTTTGTTAAAGCTGCTTTAGCGAAAGGGAAAGATAAACATACTAAAATCACAACAAACTACGTTTTGGTTTCATGCTTTGTGTCAAACACAAAAACCATGATTGCCCTGTGACTGCAGACAAAGGGATTACACTGCCAGAAAAGACATTAGGCCAATCCCCTCCTTGGAGCTGAATAGATGGGCTTTGGGGTAAATATACACTCACATTCATATCAGTCTGGCATTAGTTATGCTGGAAGAGTTCATGCATTTACTAAGTAAACAGTTGGTGTTTCTCCTTATTGTTAATACACTTCTTTAAAGAGCTTATTAGACTGTTTTATTAGAACGTTACACAAACACCAACAAGATTATTTACATTAAATAGGATGAAAATTGAACAGTGTCATTTCTTGTAAACCTTCTAAGACTATACATCAGGTGCCTCTCAATTAATAAAATTGAATAATCCAGTTAATCTGCAACACATTGTCACCCACTGGACTTCTGTGTCATTTCAGCCCATTGCCATGGACTGCAGGCTTGCCAGGCTCCAGTGGATCTGAGCTCTTTTGGTGAACCATGTCCTGTGCTGGGAAGTTACCTGTCTGTAGAGTACCACTGCAAACACGGTCAGACGCACAATTTGTCCTTTTTACTTCCACTGTGCATAAACTTTCACACTCTAAAACAATACTGTAGATCATTATTAGAAGATTGAACAATATAACTTCAGCCACATTAACTACCACTATATTTAATTCATTGTTTTATTGCCTTACAGAGGTTATCTATGCAGGATATGTGTAGTTCACTCACTAGTTCGAAGTTGTGGTTGATGTTGTGACCCTCAGACTATGTTACTCGTGTTTTGTGTTCCTCTTTTTGTGACTTGTCAAATGATTACTTCAGTGGTGTAGTTAGCAGAGTGAACTTAGGAGAACTGCACTGTTTTATTTATGTGTGTATATAAATACTTTAGCAATGTTTCATGGTGTGATTTCCTCTCAGGACTCCACTTACTGATGAGTAAACTGGCGGCCGTTTTTGATAATGTCACCATCACTGTGAAGTGGCTCCTTCATCCATTTCAGGGAAATCTGACATGCACACTGAATGCTGGAGATGGGCACATTATTGATCCATACAGCCCAGAGGAGTGAGCAACACTTTGCATTCAATTGAATACTGTAGAAAGATGCAGAATTGTATTTATGTAACTAAAGTTTTACTTGATCTTTCTCACAGGATGGAGAGCACTATTATACACAAATTCAGCCGTCCTGGTGTTTTCATGGTTGGGGTGGAGTGCACCACCAACGACTGGCATGTTACGGCTCAGAAAGCCATAACCGTTCAGCAGCCTGTCGGAGAGTTTAGTGTGATCAAGTGCTATAGCGGGAATGTGTCAACAGATGGCACTAAATGCAATGCGATTTATGGCAGACCTGTTCTAATTCAGGTTATGGTGGAGGCAGGTGAGTCAATATAACACCATGGGTACCGTTCCTCAAACATTACAGAATAATTTGATACCTTTATTTTTCTGTTACTAGGCACAAATGTTTCCTACACAATTCAACATGAAGACCATTTGTTGGCAAACTCTTCAGTGGACAGAGGGATTACACCCCACAACATTACACTGAATTCAAGTGTGGCAGAGGAGCTCGGGCACGGCTGCCACAACCTGACTCTAGCAGCGTCAAACAGGGTTACAGCCCACACAGTGTCCATTGATCTGGAGCTGTGTCTGCTGGAGCCTGTTGAAGGCCTGCAGGCCTCAGTTATGTCAGAGGAAGGCGAGTGTCCAGACTCCACGGATATCATCATTGATGTTTCGTTAGAGCGAGGAGCCCCTGTGCAGCTTCTCTTCAATCTCACTGGAGCCAGGGATACTTTGTCTGAGACCAGAGACATGCTCAATAGTAACTTACAAGCTTTTACATTTTCCAGCCCAATTGAAGGTACTTAAAATGTAATATTGTATTACAGTTTATGTATTATAGTTTAATATGTGCTCTAAATAAGTGAAAATAATCATGCTAATCAAAATGCTTCAATCCAAATTCTTTTGGTAAAGGACTGTTAAAAGTTAAAGTACGAGCAGTGAATGCCTTTTCGGCCTCTGATGTGGACGTGGACTTAGAGAACGTACTCGAGGCTTGCAAGAATTACTCTGACTTTTCACCAGGCGAACACGGAAACACAGTATGTGGAATATTGGTATATATATTATATTATATTGTTTATAAATCTGCATTTTGCGGGTGCAGAACAATGACTTTGCTTTTATCTACAGACAGGTAACATGAGTGTCGACAACTCTTCTGACTTGAAAATAATTGCTACTCCTGACACTTTGGTCGACTACACTCACAGTGTCACACTGAGTGTAATTGGAACTGAATCATTACCCAGCGAAGGGCTCTCATTTGAATGGAAATGTAGTAAGTACAACACTTCATTGACCAGTTTTTACCAGTTAAAACATGATTTAAGTAATTACAGGGGGTGAACAGGATTAGAAGAACATAGACAATCCAAAACAATAACCTATGATGACCAATGAAACTTTATTACAGCAGTAAGAACATTTTCATGCGCACCATAAATCCAGATCATTTGAGATCACTGTACTGAGTCCCCTCAGCAGGTGAGGATATTCCCAGCTTAGCCCCTGGCTGTCCGTGCATTGCTGTATTTTTCACACAGCTGGATTTGGTTTCCCCGTCCAATCACCAGTAATAGAAGCATCATTACAGCATTACTGGTGTCAGATTTTCAGTTTCATTTCAGTGTGGATGAACCATAATCATCACCTGCCTAAGGTCTTCTGGTTTTCTAGTATATTACTATATAGTATATTGTTTTTGCAAAACCAGGGTAAGCACTTTTCCTGATGTCTGAAGCCAGGAAGTGATTACATCTTAACAACAAACACAATACCTCCAAAAACATGATCATAGCTGGGACACTAATGCACATGTACACACACAGTGTCAAATAGGTATTGATTCAATTGTATGATAGTTTCTGAGGTTGTTGTTGGTGGTGATGATCTACTGGGTTGCATTATGTTCCTGTTATTTTGTCCATCCCTTGTAAATATGCTATAAATATACTGTCATTCATGACATGTATCTTTGTACAACAGAAATCTCTTTATTGTTGAAGTGCTGTTTTAAAGTTTTGCCTCTGCTTTTTTCCATACAGAAGGAAACTGCAAATGCAGAAACAAAACAAATAATGAAACTCATGTTATCAAAAAAGATTGTCTTCCAAATCCGTTTGAATTTTTCCAATACACTTTAACTGTGAGGAGAGCGACCTGGTTTAGGAAATGGGTTGGCCTCGCTTCAGCTTCAAAGTGCATCACTGTTGCTCCAAAAGAATTCACAGATGTCACCATCAGGTAAAATGAGAGCATTTAGGAAAAAAACACTAAAATATGTTCAAAATAATGATTCTGCAGGCAGTTTGCAAGAGTAAGAATTACTGTTAGTTAAGGAAAAGTAATTCCAAATTTGATTATATTCACGTTACTCAACCGCAACACATACAATATATATTATATTTGATGCTGCAATAATAGAGTTAATAATATTTCAACTTGGCAACTTTAAATCTTTATCTAATGCTTTTAGAATTTAAGGACTAGACGTGACAAAAGATTGAGCAACTCTGCAATAAAGACTTTTTTACTGGAATAGGTTATAGTTATATATTTCCTTTCATTCTTGCAGTTGTGATAATTGCACTTCCGTGAATTTGAACGACCACATAAAGCTAAGACTGAGCTGTGTGACAACTTGTCCAGACGTAGTCTGGTATATTGAGGACCCCAGACCTTTGACGGTAAGTCTGAGACAGCACTTCAGTCGATTTTAAAGTTTAGCAGATGAGATTACTGTGTCAAACAAGTATTAATTGATAATCTTTTGCCAGGGTGACCTTGAAAAGTGTTACTCCAACGCAGGAAGGAGGCCAGCTATTGAGATGCAGGACGGCAGCACTGAATATTCTGTACACAGCCAGCATCTGAACGTTTCGAGGCACACATTGCAAAACATCAGTGTGATTGCTTACGGTGTGTTTTCATCCCATAGTCACGCATAAACTTCTTTTATTACAGAATTCCAAGGTATTAAGGTAATCCATAGCATGATAAGATTGGAATGAATAAGGGGTAAAGTTTTCAAGTTTGTGTCAATAAAAAAAAACTGACATAGTGATTTAAAAATGTTTTCTTTTTTTACAGGCAAGAAGAAGCCAGGTTTTGCCAAGTACACTCTTCCATTACCAGGCCCTGAGCCAACTGATGCACCCACAGACTCCAGCCCCCCCTCATGTAGCATCTCTCCCACATCGGGAACTGTTCTTGATGCTTTCGACATTACCTGCAAACCAAGCTCTTTCTGCTCTGAAGGCTGTTTTTATTGCTTCAAAACTGACACAGGTGAGAATGTGATGCGCTGTCAACCCTTTATGTCACTCAGATTATAAACATAAAGCTCTGTTACAAAGTGGATTTATACATTGATACAGGAATTTAAACTTTTTTTAAATTGGTTGCATGAACCAAAAAAGAAAATAAAGAGGATCAGTTGACTCTGGCCTACCATTGCAAACATGTGTTTTGCTGTACAGATTTGTACCTGGGATTAATTTTGATGCTTTGCTCCTTTAACAACATGTGTGTAGATAAATAATCAAGAAATCATTACAACAGTTTAACTAAATTGTCTCTTTTGTCTTTAAGGCAAACATCTGCGCTGCAGCAATGCAAATGAGGTGAAATCTGTCCTCCTGCCTCTTGGAGATAAGAACAACAATTACAGTTTGTCTGTTGTGGTGACCGTGAAAAATGCATATAAGAAAGCCACCACAACTGTCACTGCTCAGGTTTGTTGTCTGCCAGTAAATCACGTTTGTTAGAGAAAGAAGGAGGATTAGAGAAATCAAAATTGGAACGTGTTCCGTTAATTTAAGGACTTTGAATAAATCTGATTAATTGTTTCTTCCCCTTAAGGTGTGGAAAAGTAACTCCAGTGCGTCAGTGGAGGATCTCCAGTCTGCAGTAGAGGATACTGTGGCTCACTTAGAGCAGCAAGGTCTGCTGTCTGGTGAGGCACTCGGACAAATATTCACTTCAGTTTCTGACATGCTGAATACAGAGGCTGGCCAAGATCAGAGGGATGCGAGGACGAAGGTGACTTTATTCGGTCGATGTTGAAACAGTTGAGGCTAATATATTGCTGTGATATTCGTGAGGCTTGCATTGTGGGTGAGTGGAGAGCACCGTGGGATTAATCTGTACCTCCTCCTCTTTCAGCTCAGAGAGCAAATGCTGACCAAAATGACCACTGTGCTGGCGGACTCCCCCACTAACACAACTCAGGAAGTGAAAGTGACGGCCACAGCTGTGGCTGGACTCACCCAGCTCTCAGATGAACTCAGTCCCGCTGCTCAAGTACAGTTCATGAGATCAGTTCAGCAACAGAATCTAAAATCCTGCTTATTGGTTTCAATCTCCAAATGCTAAAAGTGCTGTGCAGGTGGCTGTTAGTTCACAGGCCATAGCAATACTCTATACTAATTAGCAGTAATTACAGATCAATGCACAATGTGTCATCATTAATTGCACACTTGGAGCCTTAATTGTCTCTTAGCCTAAACATTTTAGTGAAGGACAATGTTGCATCTTTAACATTTAGATATACTATGGTGACTAATAGGTAGAAATGATTTCTTAAAACCATTTTTTCATCATTTTAAGCCGATGTAAGTGGAGGCTTAAATCTGATTTAATGTCATGTCAAGGAAAGAAAAAAATGTCGTAGTTGATTTTTGAATTTGACTGTAACATGCAGAAGAGGCTATTTAAAAGTGTTAAAAGTACCTTTCTCAGCCTGAAAGTAATTTCAGATGTAAATAAAATGAATATAAGTCATTAATAAAATATGTTGCTCTTTGTGTAATAGATGTGTGTCAGCTCCTTTGAAAGTTGGACACAGATCAACTTTAATCTCTTCTGTTTCTGTGTTTCCTCTCCAGGAAGAAGCAGGTTCCTTACTGGTTGACCTCAGCTCCTCCCTCAAAACTATCAGTGTTAATCAGGACGGAGTGGATGATGGAGAAGTCATGCAAGCAGCGACACCAATAGTTGAAGCAGCCAGTAATATTTTGAATATTTCATCAGATGTAAGAAGAAAAAAAAATCGCTAAATGTATTTTTTTGCTCAATTTTGTCCAGAGGTCTCACTAAACAGATTTCATTTTTTTCCTCAGAAAAAAGTGTCTGAATATCTTTTGACTGGGATAAACAATGTTCAAAGTGCTTTGCTGAATAATAAAGAGTTGAATGGAGACCCTGCCATCATTGAATCTGGTCAGATCAGTGTCTATGTTAACAGGTAAGAGATGACTGACACCGGCTAGAACGCATACTTGAGACTAATCTGGTGTTTGCTTAAAACACTGAAACGGCTTTGATGACGTTCTTTCTGCAGAGTGTCTCCAGAAACCATGCAGATGCAAGATATAAACGTCCAGAAGAACAGCTCGTCCAGATTTTCCTTCCCTAGACTGCCTGAAGATGTGGTTTCTCCAAAGGAGCCAGTGGATGTGAGAGTAAGTGTGTGTACAGCAGAGGGAAATGCAACAAACAAGAAACATTTATGTGTTTTTCAAGGTGCCAACAGATGCTGAAGCGCATACTTGTGTCTATGGCCTTTTCTCAAGTTTACTGTGGTTGTAGGGTTCTGCATTGAACTGGTCAGTACACCCATTATGCAATGAAAAAATGTGACGGTGAACTAGTTCATTCCTCATAAAAATTTTAATTTTTATTGGATCTGTTACAAATCTGCAACCTTACTTTTCATGTTTGCATTCTCTTGGGTCAATACATGTAATTTTGAGATTACATTGAATATAGAGGAGAGAAGCATTGTATTTCAAAACTTAAAATGTGACATGAACTACAACAATAGAACCAACAGAAAAAGACTGAAAATTGTAGATGAACACCATGTCAGATCAGGTCTGGTCTGCTACATTTAAAGTAATCTGAGTTCTCTACCTCTTAGATGATGAGCTTTGAGAAAAATCCATATTCTTGGAAGGAAGGAAACATCACAGGAACTGTAGGATCTGTGACTCTCACCAGAGTGAACGGTACTGTCATTCAGGTTGAGAACTTACCTGACGAGATAGAGGTAATTTTTGTTTTAGAGCTACCTTTAGTCATTTTATCTTGGATAACGTTGGTAGATTGTTCAGAATAATGTGTTTTCTGGCTTTTCAGATTTTCCTACCAAGGCTTGACGTTGGGCAGGAGAACAGCACAGTCCTTGACCTCGCCAATTTCAGCACATTAATAATTGACGTCCCCTCGCCGGATGTAACACTGGTGCTGAAAATGGAGCTGTCTCAAGACATTTCCTTCATGCTATTCCTGGGATGTCAAGATTATCCAAATGATGAGAATTACGTAGCCAAGACTCAGATGCCTCTAGAGAATTCCAGAGAAGGTAAAATTAAAGTTTCTGGATTTACTTTTTATAGTGTAACATACATAATATGGCTGAAAGTCACTTTTAGAATATACTCTCAAGAAACACTGAATCTAACAACATATTCATAGATATCCTGATGAGAGAATTTTCTAAAACACATGGAAGCCTGGATGTGTGTGTTTTGCACATGAACACCTCTGTAATTTTAACACAGAGGAAAAATATACCTGGGTGCTGAGTCCCAAAGACAGAACAGGAGACGTTGGAGTGCACTACCTTGTTATGAAGCCCATTGTAGAGCCAGGCGTCAAATCTATCAACGCCACCATCACTGTCACTTCCATCGCTGCCCAGTGCAAATACTGGAATGACTCAAAATCTTCTTGGAGTGAAGATGGCTGCAGGGTGAGTAAAGAAGTAACACACACTCCACAGTGGTTGCGGCAAAATATATTCTTGGAAAGTGAGCAAGTTTGAGCGGCTGGTTTTCTTTTTTTTCTACAGGTCGGTCCACTCACCACGCCTTTGGTCACTCAGTGCCTCTGTAACCACTTGACTTTCTTTGGCAGCTCTTTCTTTGTCATGCCAAACTTGGTGGATGTGTCACGCACCGCAGAACTGTTTGCTACATTCACTAACAATCCTGTGGTGGTGTGTTTTGTGGGGGCCATCTTTTCTGCTTATCTCCTTGTAGCTATATGGGCACGCAGGAAAGACATCCAGGACTCAGCCAAGGTAATTGTCAGTAAAGAACTTTTTCCAGTTCAGCTCAGTTTGTTTATTTCGGTCCTTGTTAATACTTATACATAGTAACGACACATAGTAATAAAACATAACAATATTGGCCGAAAACTACTATGTATAGTCAAAGAAAATTAAAACAAGCAGAAGAAAAAACTTTCACTGCTGGGTTTATGCAATGATAATGACCATATCTCTGTTTTCTATTTATTCACCACCATATTTAAAAAATTTTTTTTATAAAATTTGCCAAGCGAACTACACATTCTTAATTCATTGTCACACCTCATCCACAGGTTTACCTTTTGGCTGGTATGCATCTTCTTTTTATGTTACTACCTTGCTCTCAATTTGGTTTATGAATGTGTTCTATCACCACAAAAATGTTGGTCTTTGTCATTCATTTTGTCAAACAATACATTGAATGTATTAAGGACATGTCTTAATACATTCAATGTCCACAAGTTCCGTAACCCTCACAGTCTCCAACCTCAAAATATTCGATCATGTCAGGCTGGATCTTTATATTTCGTCCACATGTAACCATTTCCTCAATAAGTTGGATAAATAATCATGAAAACCTAAATACTTGAATGCTGTGTCTTGGCATTCACTTGAAGGTCAAGATAACAGTGCTTGAGGACAATGACCCCTTGGCTGAGTATCGTTATGTGCTGAATATCAGCACCGGGCATCGGCACGGTGCATCCACCTCCTCTCAGGTCAGTGATGTTTGTTAAACCTTAGAGGGATTCACAGAAATAAAACCTGCCTGATGTTTCTGTTGCACAACATTTATGACGCTGACACTGACAACTCTAGACATCTCTGTTCATCTTGAGTGACCTTTTTTTTTTGTCTTAGGTGACAATAACTCTGCTGGGTACCGAGGGAGAAAGTGACCCCCACCACCTGACAGACCCTGAGAAACCTGTGTTTGAGAGGGGCGGGGTGGACATGTTCCTGCTCACCACACACTTTTCTCTTGGAGATCTACAGAGCATCAGACTGTGGCACGACAACTCGGGAGAACACCCTGCATGGTAGGGGTTAGGGAGCAAGAGACTCATGTGACACCAAAGAAGATTAAATTAAAGTTAAGCTTGAGTTTTTTATCATTATTATGAGCACATTCGATGATTATAGATGTTATGTACAGGTATATCAACAAAGTGATGGTGCAGGATCTGGAGAGTGGTCAGAAATGGCACTTCCTGTGTAACTCCTGGCTGGCTGTAGATGTGGGAGAGTGCTCTCTTGACAAGGTCTTCCCAGTAGCCACAGAGATGGATTTAAAGAGGTTTAGGTGAGACCTGCTACTGATCTGATGAAGACACATTACCAAGAAATTAGACATAATTCTACATCACATTATTATTTCTTCTAATCTGTCCATATTTTTCTTTGACACTTTCAAGTAACTTGTTCTTCATGAAGACAGCCAAGGATTTCCGCGACGGTCATATCTGGTTCTCCGTCATTAGTCGACCTCCCTGCAGCACTTTCACACGTGTGCAGCGAGTGTCGTGCTGTTTTTCTCTTCTGCTGTGCACTATGCTGACCAGCATTATGTTTTGGGGCATACCGACAGACCCCTCTGAGCAGACCATGGACCTGGGTAGGTAGCAAAATATAAATCATTCAAAGCTTTCAAGAAACAACAAACTACAATATAAACCCCCATCCACCCCTGTTGCATGGCAATGACCTGGCGCACCGAAATGTTCGTATATCTGAAACAGTGGTGCTGTATGGAGTAACTAAAAACACCTGACCTTCAATCACATCCATTTAAAGTCGATTTAAAGAAGCACTTTACTTTGCAGGCCACATCGAGTTCACCTGGCAACAGGTTATGATCGGAATTCAGAGTTCAATCATCATGTTTCCCATCAATCTCCTTATTGTGAGTATCTTCAGAAACACTCGTCCTCGGGAGAAAACCAGCAAAACAGATGTGTCCAAACAGGGGAAGACAGGTCGAGTTTCTCCCTCACAGACTTCCTTCCCGCAGAAGGAGCTGAAGGACATCACACCAGACACTGTGATCAAGGTGAGGGCACAGGTAGCCTGAACATAACTTGGAAGTAATTAATTCTCTATTCTCTGTGTCTGAAGAACTTGATGTGCTTTCTACATTAGGACATAAAGAGAATTGCACAGTCACTCGCAAAGGCCATGAAAAGTCCACTGCCCCATCAGGAGCTCCATCCTGGTCAGCGGGCAGACATTAACACTCTGCTGTCTCTGGTGGAGGACATCATCAGACAGCAGAACCGAGCAGCTGGAGACTTCTACACCGACGCCTCCAAAAGGGATCGCTCCATGATCCTCAGTTTAGGTGCAGTCAGTCTGCAAGGTAAACTGCACGACAACCTTCACAATGCTCCTGATATGATGTGTTTATGATTTTCATTGGCCGGTCCATTTGGAGGACCAGACTTATAAGGGAAAAAAAACAAACTGTATTTATTCTTTTACATACAAATTATGAAGCTGCCAAACTCCCCTGTAATTCCTCATGATGGACCAATCTGATGATAGTGTCATATTGTCACTGGTCTAAATTGACATCCTAACTGACTAATACTGATTTTTGCACGGACAGAAAACAGTTTGTGGGGGAGCCCTGAGAAGACTTCAGATGAAGTTCAGAAGAAGAGCAACAACAGCCGATACCTGTACAGGCAGCTGCGTCATGTTGAGAAGGAGATGGGTCTGTTGGGACCTTCTCGTTTCCCGAACCCAGACAGCTACAACCGAGCCATGCAGCAAGTTCAAGGAATGAAGGGTCTCCTGGAGCGCCACCACCCCTCCTCCAGCCTGGATGGAGACCAGCTCGACCGCAGCCCCAGTCCAGAAGAGAGCGTCAACAATGGGGACTCCGCCAAGAAGTGCTGCCAAGGAGGGCTGCCATGGTGGTTCGTCTTTGTTGGGTGGATACTGGTGATTGCAACCAGTGGTGTTTCAGGATACTTCACCATGATGTATGGGCTGACGTACGGGAAAGAGCGCTCTATAAGCTGGCTCATCTCCATGGTGGTCTCCTTCTTTGAGAGCCTCTTTATTACCCAACCTCTGAAGGTGAAGAACATTACAGTGATCACAACGTAAAGGCGGAACAGGGATAGCACTGCAAATGTTACGTGTTAAGAAAGCTATTCATTAACTGATATATAAGTGGAGCTTAATGTGCAGTTTTTTGTACTGAATAAAATTCTATTATGCTGATGATTATATTAATGATATATTTACTGAAACATAACACAACAGACAAATTAGGAGATTATTTGTCTGAAATTTGATAATTTTTTTTACCAGAGATTTGATTCATTTAAGCCAAAATTTTAAGTTTAAAATTGAAGTAGTGATTCATACATTATTTTATCTTCTGTCACAGGTTCTCGGTTTTGCTGCTTTCTTTGCTCTTGTTCTGAAAAAAGTTGACCAGGAGGAGTACGGAGAGCCTCAGATAGATGAGAGTCTCAGAGATGCAGGCATGTTTTTTGTCTCATTTCCCATTTTTGTTGCATTGTTTTGTGTGATAACATCTTAACAAATGAGTACAAAATTCCTCCCTCAGATGATCCTGATGCACTGCGGGCAGCCAGAAGAGACAGCACGTGCAGTTTCTATCAGCCACCACCTCCCACTGACATTGAGAGGATTAGGAACAACATGATTAAAGAGCAGAAAGTCTTCGCACTCATGGGGGAGATTCTTGGTAGGAGAACCGCTTTGATACATAACAACATCAAAAGCAACTGAATACAGTTTGAGATGCTGATGTAAGATAATTTGTAACTGTTACTTGTGATACAGCCTACATGGGATTTATGTGGATGTTGCTCCTGGTGGCGTATGGTCAGAGGGACCCCAACGCCTACTTTCTGACACAACACATTCGACAGAGCTTCAGCAAAGGGATCTCTGACAGTATGAGTATTCAGGATGTGTTCAGTTGGGCAAACACAACTCTTCTGAGCAACCTGTTTGGAGAGCGCCCAGGTCAGTATCTTGTGTTGTTATTGAATGTCACACACAATTTATTTGCATAATTCCCCTTCAGCATTTGCCAATCTTTTTCTATTTATGACAAAAATGGAAAACATAAAATAGAGTATGTATATGAATAAATATGAATACGTTCTTTCATCTGTGTGCCACAGGATTTATCACAGACGGAAACTCAAAGCTGGTGGGTAACGCTCGTCTCCGCCAGGTGAGGGTGAAGAAAAACTCCTGCCATGTTGCTCGCTCCATGCAGCAGTCTGTGCCGGACTGTCACGCTCCGTACTCGTGGGAGTTGGAAGACATGGGCTCCTACAGTCCAGGCTGGAGCCACTCTGTGGGAGGCAACACCTCACTGAACCCCCACAGCCCGTGGACATACCAGTCCCAGGGTAAACTGAGGGCCTACCCCATCTGGGGCAGTGTGAAACTCTACAGAGGAGGGGGGTTTGTGGTGGATCTGGGGCCCGATTTATCAAATTCCAGCAGGTAGGGATTTGAATACATGAGGGACCCACTGAAATTACCTCAGTTGATGGTATAAAGATGTTTATTACTGAAAGGATTGATTAGTTGACAGATTTTAGTAACTGACTAATCTCATAATCAATTAGAAATCATCATCTTGGTCTCTTGGAAAATGCAATGGACATTGTTCTCTTCTATCTCACATTTTATAGATGAAATAGGTTACCAGTTTATCATAAAACAATCAACAGGTCAACCACTAATGGAAATCATTGTCACATTGGTTCTGTACTGTGTGTTTAGATTTGTAAATGTAAATGATATACTTTAACTTCTTGTGTTGCTTTGATTCTTGTGAAACCAGTAATGCTGCTTCAGGATTTCTCTTGTCATGGCTGTTAGTCCTGAGTCATGCATAAATGATATTATTTATCTGTGTCTCTGCAGATCCCTTCAGTACCTTCATGACAACACCTGGTTTGATGTGTACACCCAAGCAATCTTTGTTGAGTTCACTGTGTACAATGCCAACGTCAATCTCTTTTGCATTGTCACACTCATGCTGGAGACCACAGCCGTAGGTGAGTGGTGCTTGTTCATCCACTGTGTGAGAGCTGCACACTAACTCGACTGTTAATAAGGACCATGTTGTCCGTAATGTTGTGTTTCCTCCAGGGGCTTTGCAGTTCCGCAGTGAGCTTCAGAGTGTGCGCCTTTACCAGTCGACCGGCGGCCTTCACATCTTTGTCATGGCCTCTGAAGCCATCTACTTCCTCTTTATCATTTACTACATGTTTGTTCAGGTGTACATTCATTACTCGTACTTTACCACTACTACTAGTAATAACACGTAAAGTAGTTTCTCACCAGATCATCTGATACAGGCTCCTCTCATGTCCTGACAGGGAAAACTGATGAAGCAGCAGAAATGGGATTATATCAAGAGTAAGTGGAACCTGCTGGAGCTGGCGATCATCATTCTCAGCTGGAGTGCGCTGTCTGTCTTCATCAAGAGGACTTTACTGGGGAATCGGGACATGGACTATTACCAAAACCACAGAGACCAGTAAGCAATAAGAAAAACACAACTCACGCAAGTAGGCCTTTCTTATCTTAACATTTAGAACATGTTGTACATTTTGCTTTTTTATTTGTTCTGGTTGTATTTACATCTTGTAGTTACCAGCTCATCCTCTCTGCAGTACAGTAGATGCTCTGTGCAAAGCTTTTTTTCTCCATTTCACCAGTATGCAGTAACTATTTTTTTTGGTTCTGGTAAACAGCAACACTCACTGACCGACACTCAGCTGACCGTGGCAAGTGTGGCACATTTTAGTTGACACAGAATATTAGTCAGATATACTGTATATTTAAATTGTGTGCAAACAGCTTGTTGTACTTACTATACTCTGGTGGATAATGAAAGAACTTGTATACAATATAATTATAATTATATCCAATATATTTATATGTATCTACCTGACAACATATATAAGGCCCCATCGAGAAAATTGAAATCCTAATTTTAACTGACTACATACCCACCTTTCATATTTGCTAGTTGAATTACATCATTTCAGAAAAAAACAAAAAAACAAAAACAACTGTTAATATGTGTTCTTTGCAAAAATAGAAACAGTGTCTTGTGCAAATAAAATTTCTCATTTGGTCGTTAAAACAAGGCTCTTTACTCTCACGCTCTGTCTCCAGATACGCCAGCTTTCATGAGACGGCCAAGGCTGACGCGGTGCTGGGGTATCTGATTGCCTTCTTAGTACTGTTGGCTACAGTCAAACTGTGGCACCTGCTGAGACTGAACCCCAAGCTGCACATGATCACATCCACATTGCAGCGGGCCTGGACTGATATTTCAGGCTTCCTGGTGGTCATGACCATCATGTTCCTGGCCTACTCCATTGCTGTGAGGAGTTTCCCACACTCAACATGCTGCTGGAGCCACTAAATATTTTTCTATCAATGCTTTGTGAAATAGAACTCATTGAAAAGGTGGTTATTGACACAAAAGATGAACTTTCTACTTTTCAGTCTAACTTGATGTATGGGTGGAAGTTATACTCCTACCGGACCCTGCTGGATGCTGCGCAGACCATCATCAGCCTGCAGCTTGGCATTTTTAACTACGAAGAGGTTAGTATGAGACTGCTATAATTCTACTGCAGCAGATTATGACAGCAGACCCTTCTTAAGTGTATTTCTTCCTCCTCACCCTTCAGGTTCTGAATTATAATCCGGTGCTTGGTGCTTTCCTCATCGGGTCCTGCATTGTGTTCATGACCTTTGTGGTGCTGAACCTCTTCATTTCTGTCATCCTGGTGGCATTCAGTCAAGAGCAGATACATCACAAGGTAACCCACCCATGCTGAATCTGAGGTGTCTAAATGTTGCTGATGTCAGTGTAGACTTGCCATAGCAGCCAACTGTGACCAGTATCTGAAAATATACTGCACATGATGCAGAAGAAGTAAGCCCTTACTATTACAGCGACAGCCTCAGATGGCTCGACACTCCTTGAGTTATATATATTACTCTCTTCTTAACAGCCATCAGAAGAGGATGAGATTGTGGACCTGATGCTGATGAAACTCTGCGGTTTGTTCGGACTCAAATGTAAGAAACAAGGGGGCGACAGCCTGACTGAGAGGCCGGTGGTTTCATCTGCTTCAACAACATTGATCATTTCTTCTGGGAATATTCATGAGAGCTGAGATGTTACACCACAATCAAACATAAGTTCAACATTATAAAATGTCCAGAATGCTTTGTGTCAGTTATTGCTTTTGCTGTTGCCATAGTATGCTTGTTTTATGCAAACCGACATGTTGTTGCTTTGTAACAGAATATTAACCCTTGCAAGTCTATAAATTGTTAGCATTTCTCTCCACTACTGCAGATCTGTTTCTATTGTAGAGAAAGCTAAGACACAGACAGAAAGCAGGAACTAAGGATAGTCATTATGTTGTGCAGTGAGGCACTGTATTTAGACTGCAGTATAATTTGTTAAACAAATAAATGTGTGTTTCTGTGACTAAATCATGTACAATATTTTTATTCCACAAAATAATAAATAATGGAGACAAGTAAAACATTGTATTTGCATCAATCTGACTGATCTTATAAAAAACAACTGCTGTAAAACAATGCACTTTATATGTGTATGTTTAATTTCCTGAAGTTTTTAACTTGAATTTGTCAACCATGTACAGTAGTGGATACTGTAGTAACATTCAGCATTTATCATTATGTTTCTCACAAGAAAGTATGAATACGTAGTCAATTATGAATTTCTCAAGGCTTATAGTTCTACTACCACCAGATGTTATTAGATTCAACAAGATACCATTTTACTGTATGTATGTAGTCAAAATACATAAAATCAGGGGATGTGAACCATAAACATCAGTTCACACTTGATGTCTGTTGCCAGATGCCCTTTAATGCCCTTAATCATTTCAGTCTGTTGTTCTTACAATTCACCTGTGGCTCTATAATGTACACTGAAATTGAATTGAGCAGGTGATGAGCTAGATGTTTAAATTTATTGGGGGGCCTGATTTACTTTTACCAAGTATGTCAAATTACCAATATCATCATCAGTAGCATCAGATTACTGTCGGGTATAGTGTGTTTCTAGTCTGATGTGCTGCGGTTTTGAGCTGTTTGCCACTAAGTCTTCTGCTGCCACCCCAATACATTGAAAGTGTTTAGAATACCTCATGTGTGATTTGTTATATCTATGTTTTTAGAACAACAATATCAAATTCATTAAACTCCACTGTACTAAGAAGGAAGCAGAAGTTTCAGTGATGAATATCTTAAAATCAATTGTGATCGATCATTGTTTTTGATCTGTTGTTTCTGACTCTCTGTGTTTTTTCTGTTTGTCTAACTTTGTAGAGTGCAGGTGTTGTGTGTAAGTTTATAATATGAAAGTACATGATCTGTAACATAGAGTGATAGTGATAACTAAGTGTAAAGGTCAAATGACAACAAATGCCAGCAGCAGAGCAGAAAAGACGGATCGGTCTGAGACTGGCGGGGGGGGGGGAGGGTGAATTCTAAGGACACCTGAATACACTGGTGCATGGTGAGGTGTTGAGGGCCTGTTGTAACTCAACAAGTTAAGCTTGGGCTTTGACCTTTTGCGTTTAATTAAGTCACAGCAGGGCTCTGTGGCCATACCATCTGTTGGTATAAAATGTGCCTCTTGACAAGAGACCGTGAGAATAACATTTGCCTATAAAAGTTTGATAATTTGATGGGGATTTTTGAAATATCATAATTTCAGATTAAAAGGAACTTCAGGCCAGCTATTTTGGAAAAGACATAAGAGGGAATAGCATTCATTTAAGAAGTGCTTCAGCAAGTTTGATTTGAATGTATGTATCTTCTTTGTCCATTTTTCAGTCATGTTATCTATTTAAAAAGACAGTGCCACAAATATAAGCCTAAAAAGGCCTTCAGTTTTGGAGAACTCTATCCCTTAAGGGAATGAATGAAGTTTCTTTTCGGTTTAAAAGGGAAGTTGATGAGACATCTTGTAGTGTAATCATTGGTCATGAATATTCCGTTTAACTTGATTTTTTATGGATGACGTAACATAATTATGAAATCGTTTAAACTAATTGTTCACATTCAAGCACAATTCAGAGGTTTTACTCGTAATCATAAATAATACCGACATAAGTTTTACGTATTGCGTAATCGGTGTGGGCGTGGCTCCCACAGTGAACCGCTCGGGTCGTCTGCTGACAACAAACACGCGCGGTAGGAGGAGCGAGGGGGGGGACGTAGCAGCCGAGTGACAGCGGACACAGTTAAGCAGTTACAACGACAGAGTCAAATTAAAGACCGTGGCGGTCTGAAGACAAGTTTTAAGGTTTTCTCAGTTATAGAGAGAATATATATCGCTCAGCGACGTCAAGCTGCCTGACTGAAGGGTGTCCGGTTTCCTCAGTCTGAGGGTTTGCGATGCCCTCTGACTTTATCTCCCTTTTCAGCGGGGACCTCGACCTGACTTCTCCCAGATCTTTGTACTCAAAAGGTAAAAATAACAGCTCTATATTGTATGTATATACTTTATGTTGCTTTCTTTGTCGCTCTCGTAATTGTTTTGATGTTGTAAATTTGAGGGTAACTCACCACCTACCTGGCCGTAGCTCTCCATGTGTGTGGTGGTGTTCAGCCCCCTCACTGCCATTCATCTCTAAACCACCCCTGTGTCACATGCTCGCTGATAATAGTTTGGAGTTTTTCTACATAGCTAGATGCCCATGGTATTCTTCAGCCTTTACTCCTTAGGTTGTGTTTCCTGGAGCAAGTGAGCAAGTTATTATTTTTTTGTTTTCTCTTTTTGTTTTTTTCTTTTTTCTCCTCGGCAGCTGCATGCACACCGGTCAGACCAGTTTACTTTCCCCCTGCCAGCTGAAAAGCAGTGCTGTCTATTTTCTGTGGGTTGTTTGAAAAGACCCCCCCACGAGGCACCACACTGTCCCTGAGAGCGGCGCTAGCGTGCCCATCAATATATATATATATATAAAAAAACTATACTATACGATACTAAACTAGCGAATCGTGGGTGTGGGAGCCTCAGGCAGCTCTTAGGTAGAATAAATGAACTGAACTGAACTGAACTCAGGAGACCAGTGATAGTCTGAAGAAGAATTTTTGCATAAAAGGTTGATAATTTGAAAAAGTTTACCCATTAAATAATTTCCACCCAGACTCTTATATGGAAATATGCTCATTTGCATCATACAAGCAGTTGGAAAAAGTGGAAAAAGTATGTCTCCAAAACTGTTTGATGTATCTTTCTTAGTTTACATATCTATCTTTTTAGCCAACAACAGAAAAGTCCAACTGGTGCTGGACTTGTCAGTAACATTATGGAAATCGATATCAATATTTGAGGGTAGCCAATAATCAGATAATGATAATTATAACATAAATATAGTTTAAGTGACCCCTTCATATGGCTTTTAAAAATTTGCGACCACGTTACTGTGTGTACCAAGCAAGATGGCAGTGGAAAATTTTACTTAACTACATTGCTTCAACATTACCGCAAACATATCTTTGACAGTTATATTTTTTGTTATTCATTGGGTGATATATCTGCACTAACCAGATATGTGTCGGCCAGCCAATTTTCAATGAGGTCAGGACTTGGGAGAAGTTGTATGCAACCACTGTAGGCAGCTTTTGTAATCCAAGAAATAGCATAATAGGCTCAGGCTGTGTTCAGAATGGCACAAGCACTGTATGACAAAACCCAGAGCTCTAGTTGATTTTAATGTCTCCACTGTGCCAGTGAAGAGAGCTCCAACAATTTAGTTGAATCTGGCTGTGCTTTTGCCACACTGTAAGGCGCCATCATCCAACAATGCACCATTTGCCACTGTCCAGGTAACTACTCTACCATGAATTCTACAGTCTACTTTACATTGGTGATAACCAATGAGAGGTGATAACTTCCTTATGATATTACAAATCACTCTGCAGTATTTTGGATTCTTTTAGTTTATACTGTCTTCATGGTACCTGAAGCAAGCTGACCAAAAGCTGCAAAGCGTTTTCATTCTGCCCATCCCATAATGTGCCTTTGTGCTTAAGATTAAACTGTTAACTGAAGCTCTCATTTAACTTTGGATAAATCATCAAATTTTGGTGTGTTCACTAAACTCAACAGCAACTGATCTTTCCATTTACAATGTCCCAGTCTGTTTTTGGACAATTCACCTGACCTATATTTCTTCAACAGCAACATGACACTGTACACGCATGTTTCCTATCAAGATGGTTCTCTCATGATAAGAACAGCCCCGATTATACCTCCATTAAAAAAAGTGAAAATAAGAAAAAATAAAGAACATGGGTGTTAATTAAAGATCAGCCAGAGCCCATTGATGTATTACAAACAAAAACAAGATGTTATTTGCAGTATATTTTTTCCTTGTAATTTTTAGCCCACAACATGAAAAACAAATATTAAGCTTAAATATGTTTTTTTTTTTTTTTTTTTTTATAAAAATTTAACTTTAGTGAGATAAAGAAAAAAAAAGGAAAGAAGATATTTATCTTATTTATCTGAGGTCATAATTAACTCACCATATTATTTTTTGATGCAGTCTGTGTTTCTTTTGACTCTTATGAACTCCTCTGATAGACTTTCATCGTTTCTTGTGCAGCAGCTGAAATTCCTTTGAGATCCAAACTAATGGTAACTTATTCTTTAGCCTACCTTGTTTGCTTACTAATCACACTATTGTGTATTTTGGTCAGCATAGTTGACTCGGGTGTGTGTGAGAGGTAAAGTTAGTTTTGCATGTTGCCGACAAGGCCAGATCATGAGGAGGATCGCGTATTTTTGGCACGCGAGTAGTCCAGGGAATACCAAGGAAAAACAACACACTGTAACAATGGCACTCAGGATAGGAATACCAGTCACATTACCTTTCTGTGGCTGGTAAAGGACTGTGGGTTAATGGATGTCATAAAACGTCTTCCCACCAGTTTCACATCAAAGGTGAAGAATGTTATGGCCTTCCCATAAGTTCTATTAAACCTGGTCCTCAACATAGTTTAAAATTTTTTTTATTGACCCACCAAAGCCTGGTCAATCTTTAACTATCTAGCTGCTCTGTGTGTAAACCTGGGCTTAAATAGCACTCTATTAATATTGACTGCTGTGTTAAGCAAACTGAGCGGCATGCGCTTAAAATACTTGATTGCCTTGAAAGCTTGTTGATATCTGATGATGAAAGAAAAAATACTGTAGAGGGAAAAGATCTGAAAAAAGGAACATTGTATTGTGAGTTCTTAAATGTGCTGTTCTATATCATGAACAAATGAGTAGGTGGACTCTGAACCCAAATCTATATTGGGAGCACAAAATAAAGATAAAAAAAAACAATTTTTGTTTTCTTACTGTTTTTAATGTTGACATACTCAACTCATGATTCAGTAGTCTTGTGAGGTTGGGGTCATGTAATAAGGTAGAGACTGTGTTTTGCTGTCATCTGGAACATTCTTTACTGCGTCTTCATCTGTTTAACATCAACCCCAACCTGTTCTGCATATTTCCGACAGTCAGTTTAGCTGGGGTGGTTTTGCTTGGGTTAGTTTCCAAGTGTCACAAAGGAAGCAGCAGTATGATCGTGCTTGACAATGACATCTCTTTATTTCCACTTTTGAAATCATACTGTGAAGAACCGATATTTTGACATACTATAATGATAATGACTCTGTTATATCTGCAGCACTGTGAACGCTGTGGATTAACACGTGACATTTGCATAATGCATGCTCAGGCAGCCAACTCAGGATGAGACACCAATATGAGCCCCATGAAAATGGGTCAAAAAGTCTGATACTATCTTTCTGAGGACAGTGAATCTAGATCTAGGTAGTAGTACCTCACTTCTCATGCTGTACCTAGGCTTTGTCAAGTCTACAATTCCTCAGTGTTGTGTCTGTCCCTCTATGCATTGTTCAAACTCTCTTGTTCCTGCTAGCCCTTCTGGAGGTATGAAACCTCGGCCGAGAAAGAGATGCATGTGTCGAACTTTACAATTGTTTTTAGGAACTCAGAAGTTTTACCTGCATTTTGACTGAAGTGAAAAGGCTGGGAATTTCTTGTAATGTTATTGACATTTGCGTGAAGCTACATACATGTGACTTCTTGACTCATCTATAGAAGGGCCTGATAAAAGAGTGGGTTGATGAGAAAGAGGCAGAACAAGTTAGAGAAACAAAATTCAGCTTTGCTAATTGTTTCAGTCTGGATATATGCAACATTAAGCAGAAAAATAACAAGACCCACTCAGCAGATTCTTGCTACTTTTCAGACAGGGATCTGACCTTTTTGGCTTGTCTTTCTTTCTACCTCTGCAGGTCTCCTTTCTACCTCTGCATGTCTCCTTTGTAATATCAATTTAAATATCACACGGTGATGCAACAGTATATTTCTGAATTAATTACCAAAAATATTGATAGCATTACCTTTAAAAGTGCCCTCTTCCAATGTATAATTATGTAATATTGATTTAAGTCTTCTTAATCAAATGCTGCACTAAGTTGTTTATGTACTAGTGACTCCATACATGTTCAAGTTAAAGAGGAATGTCTTTATTATTATATTATTATAAAGCCTAAATGCTGGTGCTGGATGTATATTTCTTGTACTGTATATTCACTATTAAGGTTAACTGTTGCTGAACTCATTCAGAGTGTCCTATAAAACAAATGATGTCGTGATGCAAATTACTCACACCTCTAAATATGGTGTGAGTTTACTTCCTTACCGTCTTTTAAATCCCTTTGATTAATCATTAACACTAACCAAACTTCAGTAAAACCCCTAATGAGGGTCAGTTCAAAATATCACCTCCTCTGGTATTTACTGCACACTTGTGACTTTGTTTTGGCCGTGGCAAATCAATGTATGAGTGGTTTAACCTGTTGAAGCCATGCTGAAGGGTTCTCTTTGTGTGTGTGTGTCTGTGTGTGTGTGTGTGTGTGTGTGTGTGTGTGTGTGTGTGTGTGTGTGTCATTTTTGGTTTGAAAGCATCGGTGTGAGGACATGTTGGTTGGTCCACACAAGTTGAACGGGCTTTTAGAGGGTTACGGGACTTGGTTTTAGCGTTAGGGTCAGAATTAGGTTTAGGTTAGGTTAAGGATAGGGAATGAGTCTCCTCACAACTAATGTAAGATAAGAGAGTGTGTGTGTGTGCGCGCGCGTTGAAGTCTTGAGCAATTATGTACATTTGAAAATTGCTAAGATTTGTCAATTTTTTGTCATACCAAGGAAAGCCACTCATTTGTTGTTTTTCTCCTTTTTACACTCCTGAGAAAATATTTGTGCTTTGCATGCAATGATCTGGACCTGTGCAAAAATGAGAAAAATATATTCAAAAAATCTCAGTGAAATATCTTGAAAACGCCGTCAAATATCAAAATATCAGAAAAAACATCAGTAAAATATCCAAAAAATATTAGTAAAGTATTTCACGAAAACTACTAAAATATCAGAAAAAATACTGAAAA